CCCAACATTGAGAAGGTCATCAAAGAAAAAATTAACCCATCCAACATCCAGTTGGGTCTAAAAAAAGTGAGAAAAATAAGAAACGGAGGCATCCTGTTAAAGGTTGAGAAAAAAAGTGATGTTACAAAACTGTTTGAAGAATTGAAGGAGAACGGACTCACGGATGAATACAAATGCGAAGAGATCAAGAGAAGAAACCTAAGAGGCATATTCTATGAGGTAGAAGAAATAGAAAATAAAAATGACCTAGAGAAATGACCCAAAGCATTATTTTCGATAAAGGGACACACAGGCACCCATTGGGTGGTGGAGACGAAATCAAGTGTGTTTAACAAAACAATGAAGCGTGGCAGACTTAATCTTAACTGGATAGCAGCTAAAGTCAGGGAGTACATTAGACCACTCCGCTATAATAGGTGCAATAAATTGGGTCACCAGGCCAAATATTGTAAACATCCAGAGACTTGTGGCGAAATGGGACGTAAAAGAGATACCTGTACCAGTAAGAGCTCTTGTGTTAACTGCAATGAAGCGAACCTAAGATACAATATGAAGCTACGAGCCAACCACAGTGCATGGAACCAGAGTTGTCCATCAACACAGTGGGCCAAGGACAGAATTCAACATTACAGCAGGTACTAAACTGCTCAAGAGTTCCGGAATTGTGAGCCCGAAAGGGCACTACTGCAAATTTTGTAATTTTACATGTTCTTTTTTGTAGTTCTTTTGTTTTGAATAAAGCGTTGGTTGGACCTTCCAGTCCTGGGACGACTCGACGGACCGCGGAATGGTGGACACCCACTGCTGTTGGCCCTGCCAATCTGCAGATGGTTTGACGCCGCCTCCCTGTGGGTTCGGACTCTCTAAATTTTCACCTCCTCTGCTCATCGACAAAGACTTGTGGTGCTCTTAATCTTGCTTGACTCGGGACCATGGCCAGTTGAGTTCTCTTCTCGGTCATTCGTGCTGCGCGGGATGCTTTGTGGCGGCGAGACAACAGCTAAATTTGCGTATGGGGCATAAATGGCCTGGGTCGCGTAAATACACTACCTTACTCAATGTCCAGCACCCACTTCCATATAAAACTGCTGGTTTTTACTAAGGTCTTATACAGTTTTAGTTAGGTTTCCCTACTCAAGTACTACTGTCCTCTTAATCTAAAACAACATTTATTACCAATATTTATTATGTTGTTAATTCTTGTTTTAATGTCATTGTTATTGTTTACAATTGCTGTAACTGGTTAATTTTTTTCAAAATTAAAACTCTGTATTAAAACTGGTTAATTTTTTCAAAAACATACTATATTATTTTCAGTGGTGATGAATCTGGTGTTTTATTTGTCCCTGCCATGAATTTAGTCTTTTTGCAGTGGCAATTAATCCAAAATTTTTAGTTGCCATCTCAAGGGCTTTAAAAGCTTTAATCAAATCTTTCCTTGCTCTACAAATAATATCTATATCATTAGCAAATGCTAACACTTTTAAAAAACGTATAGACTTTTAAAAAACGTTTTTTTTTTCTTTTGTATTAGTATGCCTGAATCTCTCAATTCTTTGTATAGGGTAATACAGTACGGAACCCGTTATCCGGAAATCAGAAAACCGGAAAACCAAAAAACCGGAACAAAATTCGATAAATTTTCCGCCATTTTTAAAAAAAATTTTTTTTTTTTCCTTCATAAGATTTTAGGATTTTTTTTTCTTTTTGAAAAGATGTTTACCTTACTATCATTTTGGAAATAATCATTAGTGTATTACTTCGTTTTTTCTTCTTTTTAAGATTATTTCCAAATATAATTTTTTTAAGTAGGGTTTAACAATAAAAAAAACGGCTTTTTGTAGCGATTCAGAAAACCGGAAAAATCAGTTATCCGGAATAGCGATGGTCCCGATCGTTCCGGATAATCGGTTCTCTACTGTATTAAACAATAGTAAGCTAACTCATCTTCATATTTTAATTTCTTTGTGTAAAAAGTTCTTTGCGTTTTTTTTCTTTGTGTTTTTTTTTTATCAGTAGGACCATGGACAATAAGGCCAATGTATTGTAGTTTAGCTTTAATACATATTTTACCCATTCATTTATTGATGGGTTCAAAATCTGTTATCCTAAGTCTTACTTTTGTTCTTATTATAAAGCCTGTTCCAAAGTGGGGTTGTTGTTTTTTTTAGCAGCTAATATGGACTACAAGTGTTCTTGTCCAATTTACCCTTCTCCAGCTATCTGTCCTCTTATATTTCTAGGATATCTAATTTATAAATCCATGTTTTTTTTTGTTTTGTTTTTTCTTTTAGCTTCCCACTTTGGTAAAGTGTAAGTATATTACAAGACTTTATATTCAGTTCCTATTTTGTGCTGTGCCCTCTGGGTAAGGTCTGTCTAGTTTTCACTACTTGAGATTCCTATGTGATCTAATTTAAGAGCATACTTCATTGTTATTAGAGTTTACAGAAAAAATTGGAGTCATGTGATTTAATTTTTTTTTTCTTCATAAATGTATTTTCCATGGCGAAAACGATGTGATTACAATTCAGTTTCATATTTTCAGAATGTTCCAAAAGATATCAGAATGTTCCATATGACATTTCAATTTTTTGCATGAATTTCAAAACTGTACTTAAAGACAGTTATCATGGAACATCCTAATATCTTTTGAAAATATGAAATTGAATTGCAATTGCAACATCCTTTATTTCATAAAAAGCATTAATGAAAGCAAAAATTACACTAAATGTCTCCAATTTTTTTTTAAATGTCACCAATGTACTCGAAATATAAAATAAAGTATACTTTTGCACCCAACTCCTTAATTAGATCATGTGGAAATCTCAATTAGTGAAAACTGAACTAATCTTACCCAAAAACATGGAACGAAAAAGAAACTGAGTATAGGAATCTGAAATGCACTTACACTTTTCAGAAGTGAAGCAATAAAAAATTTAATAGATAAAGTTGCAAGATCTAAATTAGATATCCATAATATTTCTACTTCACTTTTAAAGGAGTTTTAAAAATATAAATTAGGGCATATGAGCAGATGTCAGTAATTTATAAATGTTAGATATATGTAATATAAAAATAAATTTAATAATTTCTTATAGTGAAGTAATTCTTTTGAAATAGAAGTTCTTAAGCTTGCCAGGTAGGAGCACATTTCTTAAAGTCATGTAATTATTGATTATCTGCAAACATTGTAAATAAAAGTCCTGCATAGTCAAAATCATTCAATATTTTATTGCAACTACGCGTTAAAATATCACCTGAACTGTCGTGGGAATTATTTCCTCAGTAATTCATCAAAAGTTTTCGTTATAAAAATTGGACCTTGTGAAAATTTGTCTTTTCTCTAATACTATTCACTAATTGAGTAATAAATGTGTGACATGCTTCCTTTTTTCTGTTGGCTGAATCCTATATATTTTGAAAGTAAAATATAAAATGTTCCATTGATCACAGTCTTCTAGTTTCTCTTCTTCTTTTAGCAAGGACATTTTTTATTGCCTAGTTCCTGATATTTATATATGAAACATAAAAAGCTTCAACTAATCTTTTTATATTATTCCTTTATCTAAATCGTTTTCCTTATTTAATATTCAAAACTAAATGCTTTCTTAGACTTAATTATTCATTTCCTCTTTTCTTATTCTATGTTTAGATCTCAAGAATGTATGAATTAACATTTTATAGTTTTCCCTTACTAACCGTGAGAAACATATTTTCCCTCAACCTATTTCATAGACCAATTATAATTGCTCAGGTTTCTCTTTTTCTCTAAGACAAAACATAATTACAGGACTATTTTATAAGATTTTCCCTAGTTTTTCTTTGGCGAGCACTTCGATTTGTGTGTCATTTAGATGATGTTCATTATGATTATGATGGTTAAATAAAGTTAATTTACTCTTTTTAAATCAATCCACTGCCTGTTTCTCCAGCTCTCCCGACTAAAATTCTTAGATATATATAATCTTAAATATTTTATAAATCATATAATTTTTATGTAAAATATATACCATAAGAAATAAATCTCGTTTGTGTCATGAGGGTAACTATAATTTTAATTTTTTTTGGATTTAAGTATTACAAAAAAAAATGAAATTTTTATTGCTGACCCTTATGTTTAAAGGAATGAATTTAAGTTTAATCTTAACAAATTCCATGGAATTATAATATATTTCTAAAAATATTCATATGAATATTATCTTTTGTTGAATTAAGAGAATTTGAAAAGAAACAAAAATTGTGATGGCATATCTTTATATCATTATCAAGGATGTTTCGTAGACCGTCACCAATAGCCCATTGTGCAGCTGTAGTGTAAGATAAATAAACTATCTACCTATTATGCTTTAACTTCCCATTTTATAACTCGCCATTTTAAGTGGGAAATATTTTATTTAATCATTTATCAAAAATTGATCATTAGTAACATGCTATATCTACTTCTTCGCTTCATGCTATCTTTAAGCATTTTTATGGAGTTTTTTTTGGTTAAAATTTTATATGCTTTTACTTGATTAAATTAAGTTAACAAAAAATCAGTTTATTTATTTTTATTATTTTTTGGTACTCCTTACACTATTAAATTAATATATTTTGTTTTGGCAATTTTGATGCAATATTAGAAAGCATTTCCATCAAAATCTAACCGTGGAGTTGAAAAAAAGCCTTTACCTCTTGCAGTTAATTCTTTTTTTTATTTAAATTAATTATTTTCTTCTTTTAAACAGTGTTTTATTAATTATTGATTTCCTGAGATCTTTTCTATGTCGGATTATCTTATATTAATAGTTCTATGTACTTGTAATTCATATACAATTTACAGTTTATAAAACTTCTCTACCGTAATTTTTCAAAACTTTATCTTAATCCTCTCACTATATCTATACATAGAAAGAGAGAGAGACGAGTGTGTGAGATACTTTTATTTAATTATTCTTCATTTATATTTCATATTATTTGTTATCGTAAAATAGCTCTAAAAATTCTTTGTTTTATAGGTTGACGCAGGCTATTACATTGATGAAGAAATAAAAGCAATTGAAGATAAACATAAGAGTTTGGACAAAATAGCATCAGAAATTGAAAAAAATGTTCGAGCTGCTATGAAAGGTACCCATTGTTTAACAAAAAGAAATTATATGAAAAAGATTAATCTTATGGAAATGTAATTTTTGGGAAATTGGTTATATATTTAGTTAGTTGAATTCTCAATAGAAAAAATTTTTAAGGATCATTTTGAAAATTTAAGTTTGATCAATTTATTTTTCGTAACTTTTATGTAACTATATCTTTAAAGCAGCAGCAACACAAAGTACAATGTTATGTTCATCTTCAACTCCCATAAAGTTAATGATAAGTGAAAATTAAAACGCAACTCCATGGCAGCTGAAGAGGCTATTGTCACCTCAGCCATTTTTTTCTTTTAGTGAAAGATTCAAAGATGGGACTGACATATTATTAGACGCACTATTAGATTCTATGTAAAATTATAATTATCAGATGATACTATACAGCTGTATTGTTTTTAATTGGATGATACCAGTTGGTATTTGTTTGTGCTCCTGTATCAATTGGTTAACATTGTAATGCAATACGTTAAAAATAAATACAAATCGGAAGTATCTAAAAATCTCCTGAATAAAAATCCATTACATGTATGTTTAAATATAAAAGTATTGCATATAAACTCATGCAAATCTGGTAATTATTAAAAAACTACAGTGTGTCTAATAATTTGATCTATTTATTATAATATACTAATATAATGCTTGATATAATAAATATTATATATTTTTGTAATATATTGTCTAATGCATCCTATCATTACATATCGTTTAATTGAACCAACTGATAAGAGGCTGCATGTTATATATCGTTTAATTGAACCAACTGATACACTAACGTAAACAAGTGCAAACTGGTTTCAGTCACATAAAAACAGTAAAGCTGTATAGTATCACCTGATAATTAAGATTTTACATAGAATCTTATAGTGTGTCTAATAATTTGGCCAGGGACTGTAATAAGGGTGTGAATCAGAAGACCCATGCACTTGCATGCAGCCTCAAAACTCTTTCCTCAAGATCAGCAATTCTGTTACTTAGTAATAGAATTGCTGCTCTTGGGGAAAGAGTTTTGAGTTCAAGTGTTTTTGATTTACACTTAATTCCTTGTTGGAATTTTTTCTTATATATTTTGAACTGTCTGATTAACTAAAAAAAAGTAAAACACTGCTTTTAATGAAGCATATACAAAGCACTGCATTAAGAAATTATATGATAGCTAATTTGAGTAATAGCTAATTTATTGATAGTTTTTCTGTGTTTATAAAAGTCCCAGAAACACAGTTTCTTACTTTATAGTGCAAGGACATTTTAGAACAGAAGTTTTTCATTTTTTTAGTATGATTGGTACAAAATGGTGTAAAATCAGTAGCAGAAAAAGTAATACCTACAGTGTGTTAGCTAAGTTCTGTCAATATTAATCATTCCTCACAAAGTTGCAAAATGTGAGAAAACATTTACTCACATAACAAAAATTAACACTTAATTCTCTTCTTTGTCCATAAGAATATGTGAATATTTTATTATTCACTTAATTTTTTTAAAAAATATTTATTGTTTTGCTTATAACGCTATGCCTTGGTTCAGGCTTTTTGAAATTTGGAGGTTGGCAGGTTTGTAATAAGTATAACATGTTGTATTAACTTAGTACTTAAAAAGGTTTTTTTTTAACTTTTTGCACTCTCTAGTGTGGATGACATGAGAAACTCATCTTTGTTGATATATGGTGCTGAGATCTAGCTACTCTACCAATTTTTTTTAAATAGTTTATACTCATTTTGCAAGGGGTACATTGTTACAAGATTTGAGGGGTGTTAACTTAAATATGTTTGAGTAAGACAAAACACCACCCTGAAGTATTCTATCTTTTTTTGCATTTATTGAAAGCTTACAACATTTTCAGTAATATGTTATAAAAATGTTCTAAAATTAGAACTGTTCAGAAAGTTACAATGAACTCCACAGAATTGCATAAGGAGAAGTCGTAATAATCTGTGTATTACCTGCATCAAATTGCTTGAATCTAGTACTAAATGTCATTACCCCCAGGTTAATATAATAAGAAATTTTTTTTTAAATTTAAATTTTAAGAAAAATTCATTTTTATCAATCCTTTTTCTAATTTTATGTACTGCATAAAATCACTTCATCTGTCAAGAAAAAGTTGGCAATCCACTAAATTCACTTATATTAACTATTAAATTGCACTCTATTTACATTGATAACATAGCTTGTTTTCTTGTCGTTGATTCATTTGAACAACTTTTGATACAGAAATGTGGTCAAGGCTGAACTAGTGAACATTACTGACGCAAATTAAACCTTGACAAGTTCATATCTGTAGCAAATGGGGTTCTTCCAGGTACAAAACACTTGGAGAAAACAAAGTATATTTTGATCAGCACATTCTTCTGAAGAATTTTGAATAGATTCTGGATTGTAAATCTGTTTTGAGTTAACCGTTAATATTAAGATTATTAGGAATCAGATACTTGAGCTCTGGTAAAATGAATTTGTTAATTATACCTATGGCATGCGGTCCATAGGCTAAAAAATCTGAAACAGGCCAATCCAGTCCATATGGTAGAGTTGAAGGCTGCTATCAGTGAAACCTGAGATAATATTAGCTGGGGCAGCATTGTATTTTACAAGTCATAAATAATTATATTGGGTGTATCGATCATTACCACTAGTAACTTTATTTTGGCGAGGCAATATTCTCACCTCCTTTTTTTATTTATTCGTAATTTTTTCCTGCCCAGAAGGGGCAGAAAGTGAATTATTTTTTCTGAATATGTATTTGTATCTATACTTTCTTAGCATATATGTTTCCTTATTGGCTTATTTTGTGTCGATTTAGGGCTCATAATCAAGTTGGCTGTGTGGAGAGCACTACTTATAACTTTTAGAGTTCTTTTTTCTTTTGTTGTATGTATTTAACCTGTTTTTTATGTTTTTTTATTAGATAACAAAGATGTTTTAGAAGATCAACTTTTAAAAATGTGGTTTACATCAATCAATGAAAAAAATTCTCTTTTGCGTCGTCAAACTCAACTACAAATTCAGTAAGAAAATGTATATTTTACATATAAATTTAACTTTTATTAAACAACAATGTCATTAATGAGAAATTACCGTTTTCAGAAAAAAAGAATATGAATTGCAGAAACGCTGTGAATTTTTAACTGAAGAACTAAGAAGATTGACTTCTAAAAGTGGTTAGCTCTCAACTTTTTTTCTTTTAAAATATCTTTCTTTTTTTAGTTCAAAAAAAATTGTAAGTTCAAAGATAATTTGTTTTTCACGATAGTAGTTCAAGAATGCTAAAGTTTGGCTCCATTTTCCTTTCTTTCCACTAAAATGTTAAAAACATTTAGACAAAATAATTCACTCAACTGTACTCAGTGTGCAATTTTAATAAATAGTTTTGGAATTAAATTTAATCAACAAGAAAATAACTATTTCAACTATATATCTTTATGAACAACAATTAACATTACGATTGGAGAGACATGCAGAATCAGGTAAATGCAAAAATGCATTTGATTCAAAGAATTTTTTTAAAAAAATTCATTTAAACAAAAAAACTGACTAACCTTACAAGTGCAGTAAAAGCTCGATATAATGAGTACAAAATATTTAGCGAAGCCTGTCAATAAGATAGATTTCTATGCCATTGTCATAATACTAATATAGAGTTACAAAAATTATATATTTATAACGAGTTGAATACTTCTAGTCTTCTATTATTGCAACAATGTTTTCCTCATTTTTTAGAGAAATACTACTTTTTGCTATTAAAGTTAGCAATATTATGCCAAAAGGGAAAACATTTTATTCTTGATATCGTTACAGAAACCTGAGAAATGATCATTGTTTTCCTGTTATTTCAACCTTTATGTTTATAAAGCAGATATGTTTAGACATCCAGGGTCTAAGTTATCTTTCATACTGAAAAATAATTCTTTTGTCATTTTTATTAATTCTGCTGCAAAAAAAAATTTCCTTTTGTAAGTCATATATCTATTATACCCCATAATTTCCCATTTTGAGAGCTTACTATTGAAATAATTATTCGATGAAGTCAAAACTATTGCACTCTATTTAATTTTTTTCTTGCATCATCAAAAAAAAAGGACTCCATCATTTCTTGCTCAGTCTACAATCTGTTGACCAAAACTGCCTATTACATCTTTAATTTTTTATTTTGGATAATATGTGCAGTCACTTGTAATGACAAGCTATTGTTTTTATTTTTTTTATAGTTCCATCTGTTATTGTGAATCGTTGTTATAACAAAATTTTACATTATTTTGTTTGTAAATTCTATATTATATTATTATGTACATGTAATTCAGATAGTTCCTTACTCTCGTAATAGATTTTAATAATAGTTTAAAATAAGAATTAATATACTTTGTTTTCAAATTTATGATTATTTAGCTTTCATGTAAAGTGTAAGAATAAATTTATATGTATTATATTAAGATAGGATAGTGACTGTTATGTGTAATGAAAAAATTTGTATAAAAATTGACTTGTGATGATTTTAAAATCATATATGCACTTAATTAAAAATATAAGTGTTCAATTTAAAGAAAAAAAAAACATTTTCTTGCCAATTAAACTTAGCATATAACGAAAATCTATATGTAATTCCTTAGTTTTGAAGTTTGATTAGTATTGCAAGATTGTATTTCAATTTAATATAGGATGTGATAATTTTGGGTAACAAAATTTATGATAATTTCCATTTATACAAATCATTATGCCAAGCGTTTAGCGTCAATGGTAGAAAACCAATTGAATTGTGAAACAGCATTGAACCATCAAATGTGTTTCAATTCCATTAACTTGTATCTGACTCAGAAGACGCTCATTATTCTAAATCGAGTCTCTATACGCTTCACAAAATTGTATTTAAAGAATGATATTGCAAAAATAATAATAATATCGGACTTTTAGTATTTGAGAAAACTTATTTTTTAATTTTTATTTCTAATGATAAAAATTTCTCATTCATAATATTTTTAACTAAAAAAAAGCAATAAATTACTTATAAGTATAACAATAAAAACTCTAAACAACTTATATAACAATATTATAACACCTGGTTGTCTGAAAAATTTAGGCTGAAATTAGCTAACTCAAAATGTCACTTGATATTTAAAAAAAAATTGTTGTACATAAAAATAGCAGCTTATAGTTCTTTTTAGAATCTCGACGTTTAATGAGTAAAAAAATCATCATTGTTTTAGACCCTACTTCTTTTGTTTAAACAAGCTGTCAGTTTACATAATTTGAAGAAATCACAGTACGTAATATATTAAATCAAATCCAATGCCTTATAAGTTGGACAAAGAATCAAATACTTATTCATTTTGTATTAATGTTTATTGATATTAGTAAAATATTTTAAAGTAATGCATTTTGCAAAAATGAATGTTTGAAAGTCAGTCATTCAAAAATTAAAGTTAATTATACATTGGATTTAAAGTATATTCCCTCAAATACATAAACTAAATTTTTTTTATGACTTTTGCTGTTATTTTCTTTATGTGTAAATTTTTATTTGTGCTGTTATTTTCTTTATGTGTGCATTTTTATTTGTGCTGTTATTTTCTTTATATGTGTATTTAGATTATATGTGTAATAAAACAAAGCATATTGTGACCCAGTACAGAATACAACAGTTTAGTAAAACTTCCTTTTTTCCTCTTTCATTCTCTGATCTATTGAATAAAAACACAATTGACTGCAAAAAAATGAACATAGGCATTTCCTTTGTATAAATTTTCACAGTACTCACTTTTGCACTGTAGTTGCTGTTTTGAGAATGTAAAATGCAATGACTGGCTAAATGCGAACTCAGAGCTTGAACAGAGAGGCAATTATTGAAAAGCCAGACCATTGTAATGAATAGAGCCACTTCAAACTCTCAGCTAGGAGCCATTTCAAACTCTCCACAAGGGGCTAAATTACACCCTAAAGAAGGAGTAGCTTTGATATCAGTACTGTAGCTTGATTGCTGGTTATGTTTTTGAAAGAACCTTAATTTGATGTTGTTGAAATCCATGTTAAATTACGTTATGTATTTTGCAAATGTCAATGCATTAAAATGCTATTTACTGAAGATTTATTTGATGGCAAAAATTTACAAAAGTACTGAGATAATGTAGGTAAATGCCCCTTATCTATTTTTACATTTATAGAAATTTTTAAAAAAGCTTTGAAAAAAATATATTTTAATATCAACTTACTAAAAAAAGTTTTTTCACCTGACCCTATTGTTTATTACATAGAGAAAAGATGTTTTTAAATAAAAAATTAAAACTCCATTTCTAATTAGTGTTTTAATTATTCTTTAAGAGAGATGTTTTCTTCAACTAAGTTTTGTTTCTTTCACTAAATACTTCCGTCTTTTATTTCATTGTAGATAAACAAAAATCTCATACACAAAAGGCCCGTGAACAATTTTTAATGGAACAGTTATTGATACTCATTAATGAGCGAGATGAACTTGTTCATGATTTGCATTTACAAGAACAAGGGTAAGTGAAGATACTTTTTAATTTTATTTGAATTCTATGCCAGCGAAATCAAAGAAAATGAAATCTCAAAAAGATGACAATATAAGTATGACAAAGATGTACAGTGCACCAAAAAAAATCGACTATCCTGAATAAATTTTGTTCTGATAATCGGATCTTCACATTCTAGGACTCATTCTTAACGATCTGAAGGGTTACTTTCAAATATGCAAATTAATGTGTGCAGACTTTGTTTTAAGTTACAAAACCAGACACAAAAGCATACTTTCTCTGAATAAACATACCTTCTTTTCTATGGATTTGTATTTTTGACCCTCAAAATATCTGTGGTAGCCACAATCTGGGAAATATAATCCTAATATTTTGGTCAGGAGTGGACTCCTCAGTTCGAACCCCTTAATGTTAATTTTACTTTTTGTATATTTCGCTACATCTCGAAAGCTTTTTAAGCAAATTAAAACATTTTGCTCACAATTATAAAATTAGTTTATCTAAAGATAATTCCATGCAAAAAATAACTTTTAGTAGGTATTTATTATTTTATTTAATAATGGTCAAAAAAATTATGAATTGTAAGGTGCAAAATTTTTTGCATCATTAATTTTGCACGGTAAAATACAAAATTTGTCCAAAATCTATCGAATAGTTTCCAGAAATCAAATATTAAATATCTGATTTTTTTTAATTCAATTTCTCAGGAACTTTTCAACCAAGTTTGCTCAAATTTTGTATTTTGCTATGTATAATTATATTCTTTAAAGTGATGCAAAAAAGTTTATACCTTTTGATTTAAAGTTTTTTTTTTCATCCATTCTTAAGTAAAATCATAAAAAGTAATTAAAATTTATTAAAAGTTATTTTTGGCATAGAAATATCTTTGGATAAACGAATAGTATAATTTTGTTCAAAAAGGTTTTAATTTGCTTAAAAAATTCTCGAGATATAGCGAAATACGCAGAAAGTAAAATTAACATTACGAGTTCCAAACTTTGGAGCGATCTCCGGACCAAAATATTGCGACCATATTTCCCATATTGTTGCTACCCCCTATATTTTAAGTGTCAAAATTCCAATAGTGCCGCAATGGCTCAGGGGATAGAGCGTCCGCCTTCCAATGAGGCGAACTGGGTTCGAAACCCAGTAGATACGAATTCCGCATCTGGCTTCCACAGACCACAGTGCTGACGTGCAATATCCTCAATGGTAGACAGATCATGGTTTAGAGTCCCCTTGCCGTCAGGCTAACCATGGGAGGTTCTCATGGTCTTCCTCTCCATGTAACGCAAATGCGGATTAGCTCCATCAAAAAGTTCTCCACGAAGGCAAATTTCTCCCAATACTCGATTCAGGTCTTCCTGGTCTTCTGGATTGGGTTCAAGGTTATAAGGCTGCATAGTTGAACATTAGTAGTCNAGGACTCTTAGCTCCATCAAAAAGTTCTCCACGAAGGCAAATTTCTCCCAATACTCAATTCAGGTCTTCCTGGTCTTCTGGATTGGGTTCAAGGTTATAAGGCTGCATAGTTGAACATTAGTAGTCGTAAACCCATAAAATTGGGTCGGCTGTTCAAAGACGGTTATAAAATTATTAAAAAAAGAAGTTTTTTTGTCAGAGAAAGTACGTTTTTGTGTTTGATTTCGTAACTTTAATTATTGTCTGCACTTATTAATTAGCATATCTGAGGTCACCCCTTCGAACCATTAAGATTGAGTTGTGGGGATCCGATCATTAGATCAAAAGTTATTCGTGGTGGCCTATTTTTTGCACACTGTACATATATATTATTAAAACTTTAAGTAATTGGTCGGCAATATTTAAATTTGTTTAAAGTTTGATTAAGAACTTTTTAAATATTTTTGAAAACAGTTTGCATGGATATATTAGGCAAGATTTCAAAACATTGGTTTAAATAAAAAAAAATCAATAAACTTCTTATTAATATTTAATCATCTGATGTCAATATTTTTTCTAAGTCTTTTAAGTTTTTAACTTTAAAACAGAACAACTGTAATTATCATTGCATAGTATCTTTAGATTTGTTGATTTATCATTTCTCATTCATTTCTATTTGAAAAGTTAGATGGAAACATCGAAGTAATCTAGATGACTTCCCATATGCAAAAAAGTTTCTACAAGGTGTTTTCGTACTATATAAATAATTCTTATGATCTTCACACTGACTGTTACAATTAGTATGTAAGTTAGAGAAAAAATAACAAAATTTGGTTAACCTTTATCACAATCCACTCACCATCAAATTATTTGAACTTAAAGTTGATTTCAACCCTCAAAAAATATACATTCTCCATCACAGAAATTTTAATTTGTAAATGCTTTTATGTGGTTGAGAAATTGTTTTTCGCAAATTTCATCAATTTTAGCCTAAACAACATTAAAAAAATTTTAGTTCTCACTCCATAATTATGCGCCTAACTTGAATTTAGATAGATAAAAGTCAAAATTGGCCTGTTTTGGGGTAAAAGCTTTATTTCAGTATTAAGATTATGTCATGAATGCCTTTATGAGGTATGAGTGATAAATGAGGTATTTACAAAATATTTTATTTGATTATATTTTATTACACTTTTTTTTTTTTTACAACAATGATATTTTCTAGGAGGAAAGATGAATTTGCTCTTTCATTGAGAACAGTGTTTATTTGGGTTATTATTTTTGTATGTTTCACAATGAAAGAAAGATTTATGCTAAAAATAGAATAGATCTGTTTAGTTAACATGGGATTATTAAGGTGTGTTATTCATTTGAAATGTATTATCTAAATGGATGTACAAAGTGTTCCTCAATGACTGCCCTTAATACATATTTTCAGAATCCATGCTAAAATAATTATTGTCAGTTTTTTGGTGAAGTAAAATTTAAGAACTTTTTTCCTAATTTGATTTTCACCTTTTAATTAAAATAAAGATTATATGACTCAAAATTGTGTTCTTTTGTATTAATAATTCTTTTTATTAAGAATTGTATATTAATAAATGTATCAAGGTTTAAATATATGGCATGTTAAATCATTATATATCTTTCGAAATGAGTAATTTATAATTGTTGTTTTATGATTAATATTGATTGAAATGCAATATTTGTACTTTCCATAATTGCTTTAATTCATTTCAAATAAGTTAATAAGTATTTATAGCGTGACTTAAACAAAACAATTTTTTATGTATAAATAATAAATAAAGCAATTCAAATCGTTTAAAACTTTTAATTTTGTCAGAAAAATGAGAACCCATGTTAGTCATGGAATATTTTTGGTGAAAGTCATTGAGTTTTGGAGGAAAAAAGGAATTTGAAAAATTTAGCAGTAATTCAGATCTTTTGAATTGTTTCATTTTGTCAGACAAATTATAGCCTGTGAAAGTCATGGAAAATGTTTGGTGGAAATCATGGGGAAATGGAGGAAAACAGTGATTTGAGAAATCAGACTTAGCTTGTATTCTTATAGTGAGATGCGGAAAGTAATTTGATTCAACCTAATATATTTTAATAATTATTGATGGCATATTTCTTTTTCCATTCTTTCTGCATTATATAAAATTATGAAGTATTTTTGGGATTAATATTTCACTGAAATTTTTACTTCATAAATAATAAAAAAAAGGTTTATATTTTTTTCCTAAGTTTTTTCTGAACATGGGTAATTTAATATCACAGTATTTTGAATTTTTTTAAAAATATTCTTTTTTTTGTATTTTATTTTAAAAGAATATTTAAATTTTCAGAAATATGTTTTTAATTATAATGAAAAAATTGCAGTTATTTATGAAAAAAATGAAATATAAAATTACTTATTCAGAAAGATATTTTTAAAAAAAACTTTTAAATTTTTTTCTTGCAGGAGGCTTAGTAATAATTGGATTTTATTTTACAGGATTGATGATGATCAAGAAGCAGCTGCTGGTACACGTGTTGCAAACCTTCGTTTAGAGGCTTCTCAACATCGACTTTGTATTCTTCAGTGAATTTATTATATATTCATTTACTCTTTTTATATTTTCTTTATATATATATATACACACGCAAATAAACATAAATATTGACTATAAAATTCTTGTATTAATAATGTCAACAATCATCCTGTGTTGAAATATATCTGTTTGTATAGTGTTCGCTACCTAATAGAGACTATAAGAAATTAATTTCACTTAACTAAAATTTGTTTTTCTGCCTCTTCATCTAGCCATCTTAAATCTGAAGTTGAATTTAAATTAGAAAATTTTTGTATTTTTAAGTATCATAGACATTGAAATTATTAGCTAAAGAGTGACCAATGTTAAATTAATTAGAATTAGTTTATTTTCCTTTGCACTTAATATGATTGGGAAATTTTTTCATTTAAATCTTTAACCTAACGTTATTATACTAGCAAAACAAAATCGTTTTGTTTCAGCCTACAGTTATATATATCTCTGTTTCAATAATATTGAGGGGAACACCTATTGAAATCAAACCAAAAAGGTCTTTTAGGTCTATAGCCATGGAATTGGGTATAAACCAAAAACTTCTCCATAGAAAAGGATTTGCTTTGTGTAAAGTTAAAATAACTACACCCTAATAGCTTCTTTTTCTGTAGCTCTACAGCCTGTTGCAGGCCAAAGTTGTCTCCAAAAGTTTCTTCTGTCAGGAATCATGGTAAAAAAAAGAAAGGTTGAAAAAGATGATCAGATTTTCATGAAGTAAGGGCCAATGTAAGTGAGTCAAAAGGATCATATTGAATATGCTAATTTAATTAGTGCAGACAATATTTTTAGTTGTGAAATTGGGTGCAAAATATGGACTTAGTCTGAAAAAGCATACCTTTCTTTTAAAAAATTAAGATTTTTGTTTATCAAAATATTGGAGGGTAGTCACAATCTGGATAATATGGTCACAATAGTTTAATCAGGAGACGAAAATTTTGGTCTCTTAATATTAGTTCAATTTTTGCATATTTCACCATATCTTAGGAAGATTTCAAGCGAATCAAAAAATTTTGCATACCATTGTAAAATTCGTTTATCCAAAGATAATTCCAGGTGAAAAATAATTTTTTGTAAGAATTTGTAATTGTCCTGATACAAATTTTTCTGTCCTTAGTTGTCTTGATTTTTAACAGTTTCAGCTAATATTCTGTTTTTTCTTTTTGTTTGTTTCAGGGCATACAATTTTAATGAACATGTAATTTTAAAGGAACTATTTGAATTTTTTTAACTTTCTTGCATTAGAAAAAAAATACGTTAAACTAAACCTATCAACCAGTATTCAAAAAGTGAAGTCCAAAATGTGTTTCAATTGAAAAGGAGTAAGCGTAAGAAACAGAACCCCTCTTTAGCGTTCCAGTTTCTTCAGAGAAACAAATTATTGCTGAATCAGTATTGGAACAAATATTTTAATTAAACCCACCCTTTTTACAGAAGTGTTTACAATACTTATCATTTTATACCGTCTGACAGTAACAGGCACTTGACCCCAAAGTCATGCACAGCAGGTGTCTCGCACATAGGTATTCAGGAAGAGTAAAGTTTTAAAGGAAATGAAAGCACTTTTACACATTACAGTTTCATTTTTTTTACTAATATAGGAGCCTCACTATGCACCTGCTGAACTCCAAAATATGCCTGATATGAAAGTTAAGTACTGCTGTGAGTATTGTATTGTAAATTTTTACCTGTTATAAATGAACTATTATTTTGTACCTAAAATGATATGTGATTATTAAAGTTGCTTAAGGGGCTTTTCTTTTACTTGCTTTTTTGTCCATTATTGTAATAGAGGCTATCTTATTATTTTTTTTTCTAAGATAAAAGATTGGGATGCCACTCTTCCTGGCTTTGAATCACTAAGATTGATATCCGGTATCATCCCTTTGAATCCCTCTAAAAGATTTTGATTCGCTTATAAAATTCTCCAGATATGAAGAAATACGCAACAAAGTAAAATTAACATTAAGTGGTCCAAACTTTGGACTGCTCTCCTGACTAAACCAAACTATTAGAACCATATTTTTCAGATTGCAACTACCCTCAATATTTTGAGGATTAGGAATCTAAATCTGGCAAAAAAATATTGTATGCTTATTCTAAGAAAGTACATTTTTTTTTTCTGATTTTGTAACTTAAAATATTGTCGGTGCTAATTAATTATAGCATGTTTGAGGTCACATCTTCTTAAAATTAAGATTAAATTTAAAAATTATTGAACTGCTAGCATTTAATATTAGATAGTTTAATTTGTAACACTTATAAAGCAGTGTCTAATTTGGATAAGTTATATTCATCATATTTTTTCTTTGAGAAATAGCTACTTTTTTAGTGAGACAAATCTACTATTTTACTTCAGACAAAATGTCATTTCTGCTGAGACGCTTTCTTTTTTTCCAGTATTCTTGTAGTATGTATGCATTGCACCCAAAAATGTCCTAATTTCTTTTTGTAAAATGTTATACGGATTTTTTTAAATCATTATGAAGCCTGAATAATTTCATTCTGTTACTACTATACAAGCTTATAAAACAAAAAGGAATTACGCTCTAATGAGCTAAACTAGATATTGTTGAATTTTGTTTGCAAAATAAACAAAAGAAATACTATCTATCAAGGATAGGTGAGTGGTCAGCAAGCAATAGCTCTACACCTTGTAAAAATAGAATAAACATTAAAATGACTGACTGTCTCTCGGAGTTATGATAAATTATATGATATTTAATTAATTATTATGACCTCGAAATGATAAGTGATGATGGTTATAGTCAAGATTTGTGAGTATTTATAGAAGTTGTCATCTTGCTACTGTTATTAAGTAACGTTTAATGATTTATTATTATCCTTTTTTTCATTTATCTTTTTTTTTTCAAACTACAATAAACAAAACAAAAAATCTTAACTGAAATTTCGTCTTACAGAATTTGTTTCAAAAAATTGTGTCGAATTGAGGTGGTTAATTGTCAGGATATCAAGTGTGCAAAGATTGAACTTTAGTTTATTTTAGGTAAACATTTCATCCACATTTGGATCATTGATTAAATTAGTCTCCTGATTTTCGATGCGAGAAAACATTATGATGATGATGAGCACCCAATATCATGTTGAGTGAGTTCTTGCAGAGATTTTTTGTCTTTGTCTGAACATTCAAATTCTAGAATTGGAAGTTTGTAGAAAATTGGTAGACGAACAACCCATAACGCCTTTTCACAAGTGCAATGAAATCGATTTTCTGAAAAAGAAAATGAAAAAAGTGAACACAATTGAAATTTCCTACTAAAGTTCTATTTCTTCATTTTAAGCATCATTAATATCAAAAGTTCTATTTCTGAGAAAGAGTAGTGAACAGCTGGCAACCTCAGTTTTATTCTGGACATGTTTGAATTACTTGTTTTAGAAAATGGAAACAGCTCGAAATGTGTTTTTTAGGAAATTGACAAAGCTCATAATGCGTGTTTAACAAAATGGACTCTGCAAGAAATGTTCAACCCAAATTTAACAATTAAACGAGACATTTCATTCCTACTTTTACTTTTTTAAACATTAAGCATAATCAGTACGGGGAAAGTCTCGGGATCGGGTTGACTGGGTATATTACAGACGCAACATTTTAGACATTTCTTTGCACTCACAACACTAAACGATTATGTAGATTTTAAAAAATCCAAATTTGAACAACGTCAATTTAATACCTCTATAGGACCCAGGACAACCTTGTTAAAAAAAAANTGCTTTTTTAAAAGAAAAAAAAAAAAAGAACGTCTACTTAAAAGTTAAAAAACCGGAATCAAATGCTATGTCCATTTTCCTAAACATGCACTTCGAGCTGTGTCCATTTTCTTCAACACTCATTTCTAGCTGTCTCCAAAATAAAGGCTCACTAACGAGTTCACGACGTAAAACAATGAAGAGCAGTTGCTTGCTTACATGCACTCTAACTAAAAGACTTTCATTACTTTTGCTCGACTAACATAGTCTAAAATTTTAAATCATTGCAAGTACACGTATTTACTTTCTCATAAAAAGAGTATTAAGTTTAAATCTTCCAAAATATTCAAGATAGTTATAGAACAACCTGACTCTTTCCAACCTCACCTCACTATACTATTGACACACTATACTATTTACTGCTGAAAAAATTGGGTAGTTCTAACTTTTGAATATAATATTGAATGGATCAATTTAAAAAATAGAAGTTTATAGGAAAGCAAAACATTTTGACCACAAAAGTACTTTTAAATTTTTGGACTTGCTCAAGTTTTCGAATATAAAAGCAGCAATTGCAATAGAATAAAAAGCAATTTTTTCTATGAATTTTTTCTTACGATTTGTTTCTATGGGATATAGTTTTTGAATTACTGAGAAGTTAAAATTAGATACGATTTTAAAACCATTTGCACATCGAAGAAATATTGCTGCACTGAATGGGAATCAACATTTGTATCTTGCCAGATGTAAAACAATGAGAGAACATTTAAAAAATCATTAAAAATAAATAAAGAAAAGAAAACAGAAAGCTATAGAAATGTATGGTTCGTTTCAAAATAAAATGTCAACATGTGGTGCTGTTATTATTTCATCAAATCAAATTGAGATTCTATGAACTGCTTAGCGTTTGCTTTGTATGGGGTTTATTCGTTGAAACAATATATATTTCATCACTTCAATGTTGATTGATTGTTCAAATTTTTTACTCATGGATTTCGCCAAAATGAAAATCAAAAAGAAACCTTTAGGTATTTTTAAACTTGATATAAAAGGAAACGTTAAGAATTGTTGTCTAAGAAATGTATCTTGTATCTATACCATCGAAATATAGCGAGTGATAATGAGCTGAGCCTCTTAGTCTTAACTATTTGAGGATAAAGTCGGCGAACAGTTATTTTTGCTATGTAACAAATCATACGTTGCCTATTTTGGTTTATATACACACATATATATAATTTAAACAAAGCAGCAGATTCTTATGAATTACTTTTTTAAATTTTCCAATCCCTAATAAGAAAAACAATAAACGTTAAAAAATGTTTTTGCACTAGAGCAATAACTTTAAATACTTTGTTTTAATTTTAAAAAAAATGCTTTGAAAAAATATTTCACTTAATAATCCTTCGCATAAACGCACAAAGATAATTTACAGGCAATTAAAACTTTAACAGTATTATTTCAAGTTTAGATCAATTAATTAAGCTTGAAATATGAAGTTAAAAAAAATTAATAAATATAAATATGATTTGGAAAAAATGCCCCTGAAAGAAGTCTTAAAATATGACACGAATTTTATAAAAATTATTTGAATGGATATTTTTTAATTTCATTATTTCTTTGAATTCTATTGTTCCTATTACATAAACTATGCTACCAATTAACTTTATTGCTTCTCTTCATTCCATTTAGCTAAAATTCGGTCGTCATGAACCAAAGATGTGGCTATTATTTCTTACGGTTGAAACAGGTATTCGTAAATTTTAAGAAGTGTTTTTTTTTTTTTTTTTTTTTTTTTTTTTTTTTTTTTTTTTTTTTNGTGAGAATTTTTTTTTTTTTTTTTTTTTCAAAACAAGACTTTTGTACCTGAGACGTTTTTTTTTCTTTTCTTTTTTCGCCAAAAATTGAAACGTCGACAAAAAGTTGCTGAAGGTCAAATTTCCTCAATGTAGAGTAACAATTTCCTCAATAGTTTCTTCTATGTAGAATAAGCGATTTTTTTTAATTAGTGCTTTTAAATTGATGAGGAAAAAATATTGATATGGTAGTTTCCAAAATGGTTACCCATCCGTTTTGAGGATCGTAATAAACATATTATCGCAGTACTTTAGGTATCTATTACCACAATCCTAATAATACTTATTACCACAATACCAGTAGTACCTATTACCGCAATTAGTTAATCATCTTTGACGTCAATAGTAGGTTAGCCTTTTTTTAGCCGCCTTCAGGACGGAAATAGTGTATTTGTTTGTAAGTGGTGGAATCAAAACCATTTTATTGAGCCAATAAAACTCAAAAAGTGTATCTGATAAGTATTTTTGGATAAAGTAATTAATTACGCTTTTCAACTTTGGTAATTTATTTGACAACTCTAACAAATAAGTAGTTTTCACAAATATAACTGATTTCGATAATAATTTTGAATATTTATTTTTCGTTTCTTTCTCCTTTAATTATTAATTTGCAAAAAGTATACACATTGGGGGTTACTAATTAATATTTTAGCGAAATAAAAGCAAAAATCCGTACCGAAATATGACAAATCACTATGTAATTGCTGGTTGAAACTCGGTTGTGCCCCCTATTTCCTCCAGCATACAAACAGGTTTTGATGCATTGACACTCCTTAATAGTGATTTGTCAGATTTCCATAATGTTTTTATTTTTCCTTCTCTTAAATCAAAGTCTTATCTACTAATAACCCTTAAATCACATAATTATAACTTCATTTTTTAACAAGAATTCTAAAAATATATATAAGGTTTGGCAGTTACAAAACACTCTGTATAAGCACATATTAAATGCTGTCATAAAATACTTTTTAAAGATTTAAGTAAATGTATTATACAGTAATTCTCTTAATTTGTATTACATTATACATTGATTAAATAATAATAAATTTTCAAAGTAAGAATGAGATTCAAATGTAAGTAAATAAAATCTGTAGCGTAGTGACCACTGCAATTATTTAATTCCAATTCACTAGTATATAAGACATGTTAACTCGATTCTATCCGGAGGTACCTTTAGCTAGATGACGATAACATTGTCGGTAGCCTAGCCCCACATTGGTGACCTGGACGTGATTTGAACATGCCTACCTCAACAGAAACACCCGCTTTGATGAGAACACGCCTACTTTGATGGATGGAATATAGTGAACAGTTGACTTGCTATTTATGACTGCGACATTGTCCTCTTCGCGCTGTTGCTACTCAGTCTCGTTCACACACAACGGGGAGCATGTATACACTCGACCGCAAATAGCAACATGGGTGTAACCACGCACACAACCGCGATCTTAATACAGCTCTCCCGACTAGCGCTCGAAGTCCTATGATCTTATTATAGCTCTCACCATCAGCGCTGTAAGTCCGGTTATTTTAATACAGCTCTCTCTCTCGGCCCCTCGCAAAACTGCAATGAATCAACTTGTGATATCCATTTATCGAGTTCTATCACAAATAAAATTCTAGTGGGGGATTACTGTAACACTACAATTATTTAATTCCAATTCACTAATATATTAGACATGTTACTTAGATTAATTACTTAGTTTTAAATTTAGTTCAGTAAAAACTCATTTTCGATGGCGATTAAAAACTCTTTTTATCGGCATTTGAATTTTTATATATAAACATCTTAATAATATCAGAATCTCGAAAATAAATAGATACTTATTTATTAAAGTATTGTGCTAATTGCTTGTCAAAGGGATTGCTTGCTAATTGCTTGATAATTGCTTGTAAAAAGGATTTATCGTCAATAAAATCCTTTTTCATCAACATATTGGATTAACCACATTGAATTTTGTAAATCTAACTTCATCGTAATCAGTGACCTTTCAAACCCCTAAGAATTACATAAGATGCAATTTATCAAAACGCTTAGACATTTTCTAGCTTTTTTTTCGATTCCGACCATTGTACGGCGTTCTCGTATTATATACAAGGAGGTAGTTATAATTAAAGTTGCCCTTATTACACTTATACAAACTCTATGTAGATCTACTATCTAGAGTTTGTTCTGGTTGACGGGTGTCCATAAAACATTGTGTGCTCGTTATACGAACCACTGGGAAAAGTAATCAACAGTAAAAATAAATTTTGACCAGCAGATTAGTAAAGGGCGCGCATATGGAAAAAAAACAAATAGAGACTCAAAACTTCTTTAAATTATAGCATACGTTCAAAGAGGATAGATAGTTCGTCTCATAATGAGGTGACCCAGATTCGAATCCCAGCTGTAGCTGGTTGATACGAATTCTGCTCCCGGATCGCACAGACCACAGTGCTGACATAAAATATCTTCAGCGGTATAGATGGATCTTGGGCTAGAATCACTCATGCCTTCGTGGTTTTCCTATGTAAGTAACGCAAATATCGGTTAGTTTCAACAAAAAGTCCTCCACGAAGACTAGTTTGTCCCAATGTAACCATCGTTGAACAGCGAACTCAATTCTGAGTTTGCGGCTAAAAATGTTCAACTGCGTAGCCTTGTCATTTTGACCCTAACTCAGAAGAG